GTTGTAGATAAGTCGAAAAAAGCTAGCACAGCCTCCCTAGGTCAGTTATCTTTGGAAGCATGCTTCCTTTCTGCTTCCTGAGATGTGTTTCTGCAGATAATTAGGGCGATCACACAGAGGGAGTGCAAAGCAGCGGAAAGGACTTCGAGGTGGGGGAGAAGTGTTCGGACTTAAGCTTCAGAGGGAGGGCTTGGAGAGCATTGCTCTTGTGATGACTCTGACCCCCCTCCCACCCCCCACTCTATGCTCCAGAGCATAAATCTCCCACGTTCAATTTCCCCACCTGCAAAATGGGAACAAAAGTCCAACATTTACCCAACAAAATACAGCCCTACATTTCTAACGTTAGAGCTGGTGCTCGTGTCAAGTTTCAAGAGCTAATGCTATCACTGCTTTTGAAAGACTAGCGCAGGGATTGGCAGTCTGTGGCCTGCGGTCCAAATTTGCCTTGCTGCTTGCTTTTACAGATAAAGTTTTATCGGCACACGGCTCATTTGTTGACATCTTTTCCATGGCTGCTTTTGAGCTACAGTAGCAAAGTTCGGTAGTTGCCACAGAGACCGTGTGGTCTGCAAATCCTGAAGTTAGGTTTACTCAGCTCCCTGACCAAAAAAGTCAGTCAGTCCCTGAACTCTATAGACTATTATGATGGACACTTTGCCCACGAAAGGGCTTTCTGTATTTTCTTTGTGTCGGCACAGCGGCCCGTGGGTCATGATGGTGATGTATGACACAGCTAGAGGTGTGGCATGTGTAGGTGTGTGTTTTAGAGCCTCAGCTTCCTCTTTCTGCCCTGCTCTTCAGTCTCCTGACTCTGCTGCCACCCATTCCTTGAATGACCTTGGACAAGTCACTTTCCCTCTGTAACCTGAAGACCTCCACCAGTTTCTAAAAAAACGTGCCAAGTAAATAAATCGCAGAATCCCTTAGGGCTTTATTAAAATGTAGAGTCTTTATATTTTTTTTTCACATGCGGACTTCCTTCCAAGGAGACATTTCAAAATTTGAATGCAATTAAGACATTGTGCAAACCGAAAGAAAAGATTCTGTGATTCAGCAAAGGGAATATATTTTCCTTCGTCATGTGGGGAGCCATCACACAAGGCAGGGAATGGCTTGACTGTGGGAACTTTCGGACTGCAAACGAAATCCTTCAGGTTAGAGAAATGGGACAGGCTGCCTCTCACCTGACATCTACAGGGAATAAGTGGAGAAATGAATATTTGGTTTACAGAGGAGAATCAGGGCAGTAACCAGACAGTCTCTGCAACTGCCTTTTGCTTCATAATTGAACTGTGGTTATTTTAGAGGTGTCTCATCTTGCTAATGGAAGTCCACCATCTTGACAGTGTAAATTGTTGGGAAGGGGGCTTTACGTTTCAGATAATGTCAAGCAAATACAAATTCACATATTGGAAAGCATGATTTCCTCATAGGTCATTCTTAGGAATTACGTTGTTGCATGTTTCATAATGTTTCATCCACGAGATGACGTGATTCTGGGTCATTATGATCACATCCAGGGTGTGATCAGGTTTTCCAGGGCAGTAAGTGAGTATGTACCGAATGGAGTAGCTGAGGACACGGGCAAAATACCCAACATTACACTTGGATTTCTTGAGAAGAGGAGATGATTTTGAGCTCTTCCTGTGCAGCTAGAATAAGTGGAGAATTCACGTAACTACTTATTTTCAGCATACAGACATTCAGGTGCATCGCTGAAGACATGTACTGCTACGATCATCTTTACATACTGAGATTGTTCCTGGCCTTGAAGTGACGATTAGCTTGCAAACTAGTTTCCCTCTCGGAAAAGTCTATAGCTCCTTTTTCTAGGTAACAGTTGGAGTCCTACCGCAGAGGAAGGGAGATTGCTCGGAGTCTCTTATTTCAAGCCGGAAAGAGGCTCCCCTTTGATTTTGTAGTTCACTTCACGGTCTTGTTGGGATTCACCCATTCCGGTTGATGGGGTTTAAAACGGGCACTGAAATACCACCTTACAAATTAAAGCCAACAGTTAGGAAATGTGTTTGTTATCCACCCATCTACTCATTTAGCGACGATTTCCCGAGTGCCTGCTACGTGCTAGGCCCTCTTCTCAATGCCGGGAATAGAGAAGGGAACCAAACAGATAAAAAAGATCCTCCCCTCAGGGAGCTTCCGTTCTCGTGAGTGGAGGCAGACAGCAGAGTGCATAATAAGTCAGTTGGTAATAAGGGCTGTGGGAGAACAAGAAAGCAGGGGGAGGTCACGGTGAACGCTTTCTCGGTGGCAGGAGGAAAGAGTAGCTAGCTGTTTTGAACAGGGTGGCTTCTGGCAGACCCGCAGTGGGTGGGTGAGGGCCCCGCCGTGGGGAGACGTGGGGGAAGGCATATAGGCAAAGCCAGGGGGAAAGCCTCAGCCTCGTGGTTGTCCTCTCTGAGAAATCGCATGGGAGCCACGTGGCTAGAGCAGAGGGGTCTGGTGGGGCTGGGGAAGGATCTGGGAGCGAATGTGAGGCCAGGATGTTTGGGAGACCGCAACACTTTGCCTCTCACTGAGCCAGGAAGCCTGCAGCGCAGTAGCAATGAGACGTGGTCTGTGCAGTAAGGAATCCCCCGAGTGCTGTGGTGAGGAGAGCTACAGGGAGGTGGTCTCAGCACGAGCGAGTGTTGATAGGAGGTCTCTGCAATAACGGGGGAAAGATGGTGGTGCCTCGGTGCAGGCGGTGGGGAAAAGCCGTCCACTCTGGATGTATTTTGAAGTCAGTGCTCCCAGGTGTTGCTGAAGGGACATGAGAGCACCAGAAGTGTGTGACCTCAGGGTTTTCAGTCTGGTTAGGCGGAAGGAAGGGGTTTCCATTTACTGAAATGGTAGCCCGTGTGGTGGGCTGTGACAACGATGACGATTTGAGTGCTGGACACATTACTTTCGAGTGGGCTCTGAGACCTCCACGTGGAGCTGACAGGAAAGCCATCGAATGTTGGACTCTCCGTTTGGGGCAGAATCTCTCTTGGAGACATACAGCTGAGAGTCAGCAGCACAAAGACTTTAGGTAAAGTTGGGACCGGATGAGATCCCTAGCAAATGCGAGTACACGAGAGAAGAGGGAGGTCCCCGAGTTCAGGGGCTGGGTGCTGTCCTGTTTAGAGATGGTGGCATGGGGACAAACCGGGCGGGGGGTGGGGTGGGGTGGGCGGGGGCGGAGCGCAAGAAGAGAATCCGTGTCCTGCGGGACCAAAGGGAAATTTGGCAGGGTGGTGTCAAGTGGAGACTGTGACTCAGAGAGAGGGTGCTGATGAGCGGTGTCACTCCGTGTGGATGACGGGAGTGGGGCTTCTCGGCGGCTCTGCTGAGCCAGCACCACAAGGAACCCGGTGCTTCCCCTGCCCAGGCTGAGGGAAACCAGCGTCTTCCAGCTTACGCACAAGTGAGCCATGTGCACACCTCCTGCTTTCTGGCCATCGGGTGCAATCCTTTTCAAGTTGTAGCCTGCACATAGATCATCTGCTTCAGAATTACGTGTGCATTTTACATCGAAAATAGCTTACATAAAACCTATAAATACATATTTATATAAATACACAGAACATATACATACAGGGGCCCCACTGGGACTCACCGCATCAGCACATCCCAGTGTATGTCTTGGGCGCTCCCAGAAGGTTCCTGAAGTTGACTGTTGCAGAACCACCCTATCGACAGTATCACGAAACGTGCTCTGGATTAGGCACTTACCTGAAAAAGCAACTACGAAATGTTCTCGTTTTTAAAAACTAAGCAGTCAACCAAACCTCCCATCCTTCCCTATATATCTCGGAGAAAACAAGATATCTTTAAAAATAATTCACGTTTTCATCATTCCCAAATCACAAACGGTCCTGACAGTAAAAACACGGGTATTTTTCCCTCGGTCTTCTTCATTTATATCAAGTTAGATGTAACTTCTTTGCACTTCTCATGCAGATGGTATTATAATTCGAATTCTTGACAGCATTTTTCTGGGAAGACATCTTCAAACAAAACCATCTGTAAATAATTTGTGGTGAGCGGCATCTACACTTGCTCACTTCATGGCAGAGAATGAAGGAAAGACCGTCTAGCTTGTGCGTATGTAGTCATCTTTGTTATATATATTTAAAATGGAGATTTGTAGGGTAATAATTCCAGAGCCTAGTCTGTCTCTTGACAGCTGAGAAGGTTTTGGTTTATGTGACAAGCCAGAAATGGTGAAATTACAAAAATGGATGTTATCCGTATGTCATCCAATTTGTAATGTAGATTAAGAAAAAATGCTTTATTTTTGCTGATCTCCCTTGTTGCTCTTGCCGAAGCAAGGATCAAAAGCTACAGGGCCACTAAGATGAAAGCAGTTACTTGTGAGAGCGGGATTTCTATCTTTTTCTTTCCAGAGTTTTCAAAGGCAGGTCTCCTTTACCGACCTGTTTAATGTCAACCAGCCTAAAAGGAATTTTACCGTGTTTTGTTTTCTTTCTTTTTTTGTTTTTTTAAAAGATTTTATTTATTTGATAGCGTGCGAGCGGGGAAGGGCAGAGGGAGAGGGACAGGGAGAAAGCATCCCAGGCAGACTCTGTGCTGAGCGCAGAGCCCGGCACGGGCTGGATCTCATGACTGTGGGACCGTGACCTGAGCCAAAACCAAGAGTCCGATGCTTAACCGACTGAGCCACCCAGGTGCCCCAAATTTTACCATGTTTTATACAAACTTATCCATTTCTGTACAGTGAAAATTTAGCTGGGTTATCGTGGTTATGTAAATGCCTACCAGGAGCCTTCTGGATTACAGATACGGCCCAAACAAATGTATCTTACTGTTTTGTAGTCCGTATTTTCATTTGAGGCTTACGGGGGGGGGAGGGGGGTTGGATTTGTTTTCAGCTTTTCTACACGTAAAGGGCAGTGCTCACGTGTTGACCATGTAGTCATTAGCCATACAAGGATCTGGGTCTTGTTGTCACCTTGGTACTTGAGTATGTGGTTTGTCTTTCTCCTGGATTTCAGATCCATCTGCACCGCCCGCGCCGGCCAACCTCCGGCTTGCAAATTCTACCGTAAACAGTGACAACACCGTGACCGTGGCTGTGGTTTGGGATCTCCCCGAGGAACCAGACATCCCTGTGCACCACTACAAGGTGTTTTGGAGTTGGACGGTCAGCAGCAAATCCCTTGTCCCCACAAAAAAGAAGCGGAGAAAGACCACGGATGGGGTAAGTGGGCGCGAGAAGAAAGAGTGGCGTCTTCTTGCACGGTGTACTTGAACTCAAGGCGACAGATCGGAGGGTGGCCTCTGCTGAGCTCAGAGAAGGAACGGGTGAAAGAAAGCTTCCCATCCCTCTTTTTGGGCTGAGGAAGTACAGAGAATGGAGGGCCATTCCACAAGTTTTGCCTTTGGCATTTTAGGTGAAAAAAAGCTGAATGTAGCCCATCGACGTACTCCTATCCAAATGGCAGCCACAACTCCAGGAGAGGAACAGAAATCATTTTGTCTTGACTGTCCAGTCATAGAAAATAATAGAACTCAAAATGTCTTTTACATTTACATCTTCTTTGCTTTTGTTTGAGATCCTTATAAATCGACGCGCAAATGTCCGTGTCTTTCCTGTCACAGGGGATTTTCCTCTGTAAGCTAATCAGCTTAGAAAATGCATGTTTGACAATATATTGTTCTCATTGATTAAAAGAACTTGGGATTGTTTATTTTCCAGATGCCAAGAAATAAAGTCTCCACTGAACCATTTTCTGAAATGAGATTTCTATGAGAGTGAACATTTGGCATCGTATGAAATTTTTAGTGCAGAAAAAGGAGTTCCTCGGTTTCCTTTATTGTTAGAAAACTTACATAAACAACTTCCCCCTAACTTATAAAGCTGAATTCCATAAAAAATACATGTTTGAAAATATTTTTTAAAAAGGATAACAAGACTTTTTTTGGGGGGGGGGCGGTGAAGATTCCGATTTCTGTGCCATTTAGAATTCTAAAACGTGTCAAAAAGGCCATATCCTCGATATTTAGCTGACGCCTATTTTGGTTTTATTTTTAAGAAACTTTCTGACAGTCCCGTTCTTTATTTTCATGGACTTCACAATAAGCGGTAATTGGCAATGCCCGGTTATGTCATAGGAAGATTTAAAGGAGCTCAGGTTGTGGGATCATAGGGGTTGGAAGCAAAATGTGACGTGTGCAGTGGTTACAGGGTCTGCACGCACGCACACACACATGCAGGTGCACACACGCATGGATGCTATCAGTCAGCAGGCAGCGTCACGGGTTACTAGGAAACTTTGCAGTGTATTTCTATTCTATATCAATTAGATAAATAAAACTTGAACTGCAGATTTTCTTGAAGTCATTAATAGGCCAGATGAGCCAAAACTGTAGGTCACTGTCTTATGAGTGACTTACATTTTTGGATCCACTGTAGGCAAGGTATAGGTCCTGCGGACCCCTAAGTTCTCAATGTTAAAATCTGACCAGTTGAGATTAGGATTAGGAACTGGAGAAATCCAAAAGAACATGGGAAATTATGAAATTTCCTTTTTGGGGATCAATACGTTCCCATTCCCTAAGATACCACTCTAATATCCTTGGTAAATAAGAAGAGAGGGGGATTTTTCAAGGGGATGCTCTTTCAAAAGTGCATTTTCTTTTACTCAGGAGGTAACAGTTTGAGGAGAGTGATAAGCCATCCGACAGGTAACCCCCAGGAGAAGAAAGTGAGAATTGGTAGTTTGTGCAGACACACTATCAGAGAGGTAGACGGTCCACCACGAGGCCCCGAGAGGGTTCTTCTGTGGCGGTACCAGGGGCAGAGCTCGGGCCCTGCCTCCCTGCGGAGAGGTAGCCACGGCCTGGCGTCTGACGCTCAGACTTCCAGCTCTGCCATCAGCCTTCCAGAGCCAAACAGATGACGATGGCCGAGGTCTGATCATTCACCCCTCAAACGCCCGAATCATAAAGCGAAGCCATCTATAATTTACAGTGAGCATTAATGCTCACGCTTCTGACATGCCCACGAAAAGCCTGTTCTCTCTCTCTCTCTCTTTTTTTTAAGATTGATTTATTTTGAGAGAGTGAGAATGAGAGAGAGAGAGAGAGAGAGAGAGAGTACATGAGAGGGGGGAGGGTCAGAGGGAGAAGCAGACTCCCCGCCGAGCAGGGAGCCCGATGCGGGACTCGATCCCAGGACTCCAGGATCATGACCTGAGCCGAAGGCAGTTGCTTAACCACCTGAGCCACCCAGGCGCCCGAAAAGCCTGTTCTCTTGCTGAAAAGAGATCTCACAAGACCTGAAATGACGATCAGAATGTTACCAGGTGACTGTGGAACTTAAACACAGGAGTTACTTATGTGACTCAGTGTTTGACGATTCCAGATGATACCCTTCCCGCAGCAAGGACACTGCACACAGAAAACTGGGAATACTCTCTACTGGGAAGTGCGTGTTGCCGGTGGCCTGCCGTTTGGAGTTGTGTTACCCGGTGGATACTTCCTGTCCTTCGTAAATGTCAATACCACCACCTAGACTGTTTCTTGGCGAGCCTTATAGTCAAGGAGCTCTTGAATCTCACCACACGCATGATAGTTTGACAAATGTTTGCATGGTAAGACACACGACCTGATTTTTCTTCGTTACGAGTTCTTGCAAGGGTGTTTCCTATCCTGTATTCCTGTAACCCTTGAAAAAGCACCAGACTCAGAGTTATCAGACTTGTGCTCCTGTCTCGGAGCCTTGATCAGACACCTGGTTTGCTCCGATGTGTCACTGGGTCTCTCAGTGTTTAGTAGAATTCCTGTCCGGCCTCCAGCTTCACTTAATGCTGCAAATCACACACACAACACACACACACACACACACACACACACACACAACACACACACACACACACACACACACACACACTTGGATGAGTGCTTGGTATTAACAGTAATGATGACAAAAAAAATCTTAAAGCATTTTCTTAGGATGATTTTTCTTACTACTTTTGATTGAAAGTCACTCAGAGAAGATTTAAAAGAAATAGTAAAGAAATAGTGAATGTCAATTCATAATTTTTCCAGGTATGTGCCAACATGAGCTTCTGTCAGGTTATGACAAACCCGTCTCTTTTCTCCGTGAAGTGGTGTCTAGGATGGGAGGCGACAGAATTACTCATGTTTATAGTATCGGAGAGGATCCAGTAATTAGGATAAGGAACCGTTTCCAAAAAAAATATGTTTGGCCATTCTATAAAATGTATCTGGATGCAGAGTAAAACTGCATTTTCAGATGCTCAAGCTGAGGAGAATTGTGTGACCTTAGAAAATGAAGGCATACGTCGGGTAGAGGTGGATCATCTGGCTTTGGGATGAAGAAGGGACAGGCAGGGCACGCTTGTAACGGGCTTGGCGCATCTTGTCTTCCTCTGCAGTCCCAGAATTCCGTGCTTCTGGACAGACTCCAGCCGGACTATGGCTACACCGTGGAGCTGCAGGCCATCGCATACTGGGGGCAGACGCGCCTGAAGGGGGCCAAGGCCTCCCTGCACTTCATGCCCATGCACGCCACCAGCCGCAGTAAGTGCCTCGTGCTTGTGGTCGGGTGAGCACGAAAGCCAGCACTCGCCCGAGAGAGGGGCGGCAGCGGCGGGGGAGGGGGGGTGTCTCACCTGGAATCGTGACCCCGTAAATCTTGCGGGCAGTAAACCTACAATGCCGAGCTAGATGACCTCTAGAACGACCGTGCGTCAGACACTTTCCCCTTTGAAGTTTCTCTTTTGATTTTTATCCACTGACTATGTAATATGTTGGTGTCATAATGGAAATGTAACAAAAAAACTTAGGTCTCCTAAAAACGTGACAGGTGACACACCCATTTTCACGGGTATTCCCCAGCGCTCACCATCCCTTCATATTCCAGGTAGTAAGTTATTCCCATGTTGATTTTCCTAGTTTCCAGTTTTCCTAAACTAGTATGTTTGCCACAAACTGTGCAAAGCAAAAGGAGAGTCTTACATGGTACTCCTATCTGAGCCAGAAAATAAGTCCCTTTCTTGTTGCTGGCTTTGCTCACAAGAGGGGACAGGTTAGAGCCACAGTGGAGAAGTGCCTGGCAAGCTTTCCGGGAAAGGGGCAGATGAAAGGGGCGTGTGATGTCGATTCCCTTCGAGTCGAGCCCCGTGGTGTCTGCCTTTCATCATGGGTCTGGTGCAGAGGTTAGGAGAATGGGCTAAAACCTTGTCTGAATTTCGGAAAGGCGAGCCTTGCTATGCAGAATTAGACGCAGTCATTGCTTGTAATTATCTTCTACCACCTGAGAAACATCGGATCAGAATGAGCAGGTCTGTTTGAAATGAGGCTTTCAAAAAAGTCCTAGAAACAGAGCTTCCTTACCTGCTTGAGAAACCGTCTCTTTGGAGATTAAATGTATTTGAAACAGTCGACGATATCTTTGTATGAGTCTGGGCAGAATACAGCTTTTACCTAAAACTTCTCATGGAAACTTTTCTATATGTTTAGCAACTTATACTGATTTTTCAATCCTGTCATCTAGCCACTCCTCAACCTGAAATGTAGGGCTGTGAATTATGACATGACTGTGTCAAATGATGGGGATACTTACTGTGTTAGACTCTACTGTATGATAAACACAGGTGCACTACATAGTGTGTATACCGCATAGACCAAGTGTACACGATCTAGTGTACATGTGCCATGTATTTGTGTATATGTGCTTGTGCGCGCATGTCCCAAAAATCCAGACACATACACATACCCACACACGCACACAGATACATGCATACACATGCATGCGCACACGCACACATACACATGCACACACATACATGTGCACGCATACAAAACGCACACACATGCACACACGCATGCACATGTACACGTGCACACATACAAAACGCACACGCACGCACACATGCATACATATACACGTGCACATGCAAAACGCACACGCACACACACAGATGCATGCATATGCATGCACACACGCACACACACATACACGTGCACCCATACAAAACGCACATGCACACAGATATATGCATACGCATGCACGCACACGTGCACACGCATACACATACACGTGCACACATACAGAACACACAGATATACATGCATACACGTGCACACACGTGCACACACACACATGTTCACGTACACAGATACAAAACGCACGCACACATGCACCATACAAAACGCACACGCACACACAGATACATGCATATGCATGCACACACACGTGCACACATACAAAATGCACATGCACACACAGATACATGCATATGCATGCACGCACACGTACGCACGCACGCATACACATACACGTGCACATACAAAATGCACACGCACACACAGATACATGCATACGCATGCACGCACATGTGCACACGCATATACATATACACGTGCGTGCATACAAAATGCATATGCACACAGAGATACATGCATACGCATGCACGCACACATGTGCACACACAGAAATACGCAGACATACAAAACGCACACGCACACACAGATATATGCATACGCATGCATGCACACGCACGCACGCATACACATACACACAGAACGCACAAGCACACATGTACATGCATACACATGCACACCACACACGCATACACATGTTCACGTACACACATACAAAACACACGGACGCACACATGCATACGCATGCACGCACACATGTGCACACAGAAATACGCAGATATACAAAACGCACACGCACACACAGATACATGCACGCACATGCGCACACATGCACATGCACACAAGCATACACATATACATGTGCACACATACAAAACGCACATGTACACACAGATACATGCATACGCATGCACGCACACATGCACGCACACGTGCGCACGCACACACACCCGTGCACACATACAAAACGCACACGCACACACAGATACGTCCATACACATCCACGCACACGTGCACACGCACACACATATGCGCACACACATGCGTGTGTACACATAGAAAACGCACACGCACACACAGATACATGCATACGCATGCATGCACACATGCACACACGTATACACGTGCACACACACGTATACACGTGCACACATACAAAACGCACACATACACAGATACATGCACACACGTGCGCACACACACACAGAGATACATGCATACGCATGCACGCACACATGTGCACGCACACATTGCAGCCCTAGATGCATTCTGATCTCTGCCTAATGTTGAATTTGGAAGATAAGCATGTACACAAGATCACACGAGCATCAGTCCATTGCACACGGAGCCGTAAGGCACCGTGGAAGTAGAAGATGTTAAGGTGGCAGTGGAAAAGGAGAGCCCTGAAGAGCAGGGAGGGCCGCCATGGGCCCATGAGGCACAGGCATCAGCCCACACGAGTGTGGAGTGCGTGCAAGTGCAGAGACCGGAAAGAGCCCCGAGGGTGCAGAGAAGTCAGTGCCCGGGGAGAAGGAAGGAAGGGGGAGTGGGAGGCTCTCCCAGGCTCTCCTGCGGCACACAGCTGCACCCTTCACCCTTCTGTTCACACCAGAGCCCCAGAGGCCGTCTTCAGGACGTCTCCTTTTTCTCCAGAAATGCAGTTCTTTAAAAACTCCTTCTGTCTCTGATGTCAGGTGCTAGGTGGGATCTGTCAAATTCTTTGCCATGTTCAGGCCGTTCCCGCCTCTTTCTTAGAATTAAAATACTTTCCTAATTAGTATCTGTCTCCAGTCTTCCTTCGCTATCCATTTTGTAGATGGCAGCCAACACGTGCTTTAGAAAATATTCGCCACGTAACAGATCTGTCCTCCTTCTGAGTTCTGAGGGTGTCACCTCTTCATCTTGTCCCCAAAGTTCGTCCTTCCGTCCTCTCCCCTTCGTCCCTCCCCAGCTTCCTCCTCAGGCCCAAGTTCTTCAGACCTTTTGTTCCTGCTCGTGGGGATTTCATCTGTCCTGTAAAGTAAGTTTGCCTTTTAGTGTCCTGGTTTTTCCGGTAAACAGCATTCCTTCCCCATTAGAAACTGGCGTGGGATTGCAGACTCCCATAATGTGTGTGCATCGCCACAAACCGAGAACAAGGAGGAAAAGAATCCGAGCTCAGCCGTGCCCTTGCAGAGAGCTCATCGTGGAGCGCCCCGTCACGGCCGCGCCCGGACCGAGCTGCGAGGGCGCTCGGGGGGCTCTGCTGCCGCACATCTTGGGCTTTCTCACTCTTCCTGGCCCATCGCGTCGGTGAGACCCTCGTTGACTAGCTTCGTCTCCCACCCTCTCCAGGATGATTGCAAACCTGTCTCTCTCACACCTTCAGCCCTGTTGCACAATAGAGTCCAGCTTCCGCCCTCTCGGAAAGGCGCTCGGTTCCCCATAAATGTCAACACATCATGCCTCTCTTCCCCTGTCCTCTGTAATGCAAGGCAGAAACATCCTTCCCTTTGCATATGGCAGACTCCACCATGTGGGGTTGAGACCCACCGCTTTCCGACTTGGCGAAGAACATCCACCAGACCAAAACCTCATCTAGGTCACGGAACGAGGATTATCTTTCATTGTTGTGCTCCACGTGCATCCGCAACGTGCACAGGCGTTGCTCCGAAGTATTTGTGAAACAGGATTCGTCAGGAAGCCCTCTCTTACCTGCAACCGCACTCAGGTTTCCACTGGACAGGTTGATTCTGAGTGCTAATGTCACTTTCTCATCATCTTTTGAAATTAGGTAATGTTTTACCCGATCAATAAGGAGTTAAAACAGTTAACCCCTTCAAAGGCCACTTTATTCTCAGAATTAGCTGATGCCTCTCATGTGGCTTCAGAAAGGTGATAGAGGAAAAGTAAAAAATGAACAGTGCAAAGTACCTGTCATAACGCATATTGTTTAGTCTCAGGGTGTCCTGTGGAAGAGACGGGCTTTACAAAGGAGTATGCAGGACGTAGGTGAATATTTGTCAGGATTTCATATACCGGTGTTGATGTGCGATCTCATGAAGGCTAGTATATGACTTTTCAAAAAAGATTTTATTTATTTGACATAGAGATAGAGAGGGAATGAGAGAATAAGCAGAGGGAGCTGCAGAGGCAGAGGGAGAAGCAGGTTCCCCAATGAGCGGGGAGCCTGATGCGGGGCTCCATCCCAGGACCCCGGGATCATGGCCTGAGCTGAAGGCAGACGCTTAATCGACTGAGCCACCCAGGCGCCCCTAATATATGACTTTTACAAGAACACTGTATATTTCATCATGGACCAACAAGAAGTAAAGGATAATTACAACTTTATAGTATAAGCCAGGGAAATTGCATTTTATACGAAAGAGGGTAGTAAATGCCAGCATATAAATTACTTTTTGAATTACGTTTTCTCAGGTCTGCAGGCTACTAGGTGTTTCAATGACAAAAATCTGTACGTAAGCAAAAGCTGAGTGTTCGTGCTGTGTTATAAAAGGGCCCCTTGAAGGAAGAAAGATGTAACACTCTTGAATGGAAATGCAGCTTGCTTTTTTGGAGGCAGGAGGATCATTTCCAGGGTTGACAGATTGCAAAGGTTTTATAGTTGCATCAGGCAACTGGGGTATTCTTCTAGCTCTTACAAATGGAGCCGAGAGGAGGAAATATGCTGAATCTCTTGATCTGTAAAATTATTCAGAACTTTGACATTTGAAAAAATAGTATTCATTCAGTTTTCTTACCTTTGGGGCTATTAAAGAGTATCAATCATACCTCATATCTTTTCACAACACGTAGAAATGATTTTATTGCATTTTGGTTTATTACTGACAGTGCAGGACTCCCCCTTAGAGTTAGGACCACGCTCCTAGGACAGAGGCCCGCGTCTCTCTGTCCTTCCCGTGTGGGGTGGCTCGGCAACGCTAGCGTGGATGCACTTCAATAAAGCAGCGGCATTTCCAGCTTGAGATACAGAAAACTATGTCCTTGCGTATATGTAATGAAAAATAAAAGTGTGTGTAGGACATAATAAAGTAGGAAGATAAAATCCACATAGAGATTAAACATAGTATCTAAACTTTTGCTCATCCATGGCAAATTCTCGAAGTCACAGATTATAATTAGAAGCATAAATGGGCTTGTGAAGATCTTCAATCCTTAGTTTTTGAGTTAACAGATACTTTAGGTGTGACCAGCAGGATTCTCGACGTCCCCGGCAATCAGGAAAGGGATGAGTTTTGCCCGAGAGGCCTGTGGGTTCTGTGTCCTGGCCCAGCTTCTGTGTGCTCTGAGCTCTCTGTGCTGCTGGGCACACTGGCTCTCCCTGGGCGGTGACCCAGCGCCTCTCAGAAAGTAGCTGGGGTGCTGTGATTTATAATCAGCAGCATGGATTCGGTCTTCATTCCTGGCATCGAGACTCCATAACCGTGCAAACAGGAGGCTGAACAGGGAGGTCTGGGGGAGAGTGGCGTGCCTGGGGAGGGTGCGGAAGCTCTGTGTCCCTTCTCCCGGACCTGACTCTGGGCATCTCTTCATCTGCCTCATCCTGACTTACAGCCTTTTATAATAAACTGGTAGGTAATTTAGTGAGTAAATGTTTCTGAGTTCTGTGAGCCACTCTAGCAAACCACCTGAACCCAAGGAGTTGGTGGTTGGAACCTCCCCTTTATAGCAGGTAGCGAGAGTCACAGGTGACAGCCTGGATTTGTGATTGGTCTCTGAAGTGGGGGGGGGGGGCAGCCCTATAGGACTGAGCCCTTACCCTAGAAGATCCAACGCTCTGCAGGGAGATGGTGTAGACGGTGTCAGAGTGGGACACCCTCCTCCCCGACGTGGATGGTGTCTGTAGGGGATCTGATGCCATCTGTAGGGACATGGTGTAGACGGTGTCAGAGGGGATGGTCCCCCTGACGTGGATGGTGTCCGTAGAGGATCCGATACCATCTCCAAGGAGATGGTGTAGACGGTGTGAGAGGGGGATGTCCCCCTGACGTGGATGGTGTCCCTAGCGGATCTGATGCCGTCTGCAGGGAGATGGTGTAGACGGTGGGAGAGGGGATGTCCCCCTGACGTGGACGGTG